TCTTTCCTCCTCTTTCCCAGCTGTCAGCTGTATATAAGAAACTGCTGCTTGTGAGAAATGTCAGTGCAGTGCACATCGACTGTGTGGTTGCAATAGCACAACTCTGTGTCTGGCTCCTAACATGAGGTGCTGACAGTCCATCTGAATGATTCCCTCTGTATGCTAAACAAACATCTTCTAATCGCTCCGGTGTCAGTAGCTTGCCCATGTAAGAATGATGCATCTACAGTTGAATGGACTTTCTGCTCCAGCCACATTTGAATCTTAGATCTTGTTTTGTTTCGTGGATTAATCCTGGGAACAAACATGCTCCTGAGTAGGTCTGAGATTACAGACATGTTGACAGGACAACAAATTCTATGAGACTTTGGAAGAACCAGCAGATCCAGGATCATGTCCAACTGACAACAATATTATCCAGCTAACCTGCTAATTCACATATGAAGATCAGGCCCAGGTTTTCAGTGAGGCCGACAGCATACAAGACGGTGACGGCCCAGGGTAAGAAACCATCCTTGTGTTTGGATGTCTTGGCATACAGTGACCTGTAGAACCGTCCAGAGGGGAGGAGCTCAAACAGTTTGTGTCCAGGGTGTGAGGGGTCTGCAGAAATCTTTGCCGCCCTCTTTTTGGTGCGTGAGGTGTACAGGTCCTCCATGGAGGGAAGGCTGGCATCAGTGGTTCTTTCTGCAGTTCAAATTATTTGTTGGATTCTGTTCCCATCATGCCTTGTTGCTGAACCAAACCAGACAGTGATGGAAGTGCAGAGAAACACAATGATTTTTTTATCCACTTGTCTCAGAATTTAAGTTAATCATCTTGTAGCCTTGTAATAACAAGTTAAAGTGCTCTCTAGTGTTTTCTTGTTAGCAAACAAAAGTTGTGGCTGTGCAATGTACATTTTGACTAGTAACCTTCCACTCCAGGTGACATCAGTATTTCTAACCAAACCACACCGTGTGTACCCTGGAGGCCTGACAAATGTTCCAGTGCTGCTTGTAGACTTCTTCCTCTTCAATGTCATTGGCCTTTGTTAATACTGAAGGCCTTTGTTAATACTGAAGGCATCAATCAGTGACAGTGAGTTTGCTGAACTCATACTTGTATGTCTGTCTTGACACATGTATATCTGTTTTCCTTTGTCTGCCTTTGGGTTTCAATCTGGCCTGTGACTGACCTCAGGGTGTGAACCAAATGTTCTTTGCTGCTTTTTCCTGGCATGCAGAGGTGACTGCTGCCAAGATTTGAGACAGACAAGAGGACTGAAAAATAAGTTTTTGTTTTTGTTTTTAAATAGAAGATGGGTCTTTTTGTAATTGTATGGAAATATTATGCCACCCATTTTGCCAGAATATTACAGTGTTTTACTTTTTTAACTTTTTTTTAAAGAGTTAGGGATAAATGTTGCATCAACAAAACCAGTTCTGCAGCTGGCCTGTTGTTCTCAAACACAGCATGAGTGCCATCAGACCTGACAGGTCAGTCAGGCGACTCTCCAGTGGGCGTACAGGTGTGATATATAACGATGCTGCAGGTGGATGTGAGCTGCACAGAGTTGTGAGACAGAAGTGAGTTTGGGCTATCATGGCTTCCAGACTAGTGCTCCTACTTCAGCTGCTCCTGGTCTCGGCGGTGTCTGCATCACATTACTATGGGGCAACCATGTCCTTCACCTACAAGGGAAGAAATCGTGATGGAACATTTCGGGTCAGAAACTCTTCATGATACACCACATCCATGTTTGTTTTCCCTGCTATACCGCAGGAATTTCCCACATTGTCATCACTTTTTAAAATCATTGTTGCTCTTGTTGATCTGATAAACTATAAAAAATTTTACATTGATTTTAATTCCAATTTGTTTCTCTTTTCAGTCTATTTTTGCTTGATTCTTTTCATCTGTTTTTGACACTGCATAAAATGTATCGTTATTTAAAATAATTACTTTGTGCTGGCTTTCTGAAAGAGTAAAACTTTGTCCTGACACTGATACTCCATACTAAATTCATATCTTGCTGTTTCTCTTCTCTACAGCATCTAGTGTTTTTTCCACTTTGACTCCAAAAAAGTTAAGTTGTCAAAATCAAGGCACGTTAGTTAGGTAGCGTTAACTCCACTCTAAATGATGTTGCGTTGCCTCGTTGGCGGTGCGAGGCCATCGTACAGGCCTATGTGTCAGCGCGGAGACATCCCCCGTCTGGCATCAGACCTCACTCCACCAGGGCCACGTCCTCCTCCGCAGTACCTGGATGGCTGTGGAGGGCCTTTGCGCGGCGTCTTCCTGGGCTTCTCCGTGTCCCTTCATTCGTTTCTATCTCTTGAACACGTCTGAATTTTCACTTGCCCGTTCAGTACTGAGCGCTCTGCGCGACCCACGGGGAAAGCGAGCACACAAGTCACCAGGCGCTGAGGTGGCGTGTGTGGTTGGCAGCTGCATTATGTTTTGTTTTAGTTTTTCCGTTGCTCGAGCATCACTTCAGGACTGCGCGTGCGCGAGGGGATAAAACAGCCAGCAACTTTTTTTGTACTTCAAACAATAAACGGAATAATGAACAATTAATCAAAAACAACTGCATAATAGTAACAAAATAATTAATAAAGCCAGAAGTAAAATGGTTATAATCAAATGGATAGCACTACAGTGTTAGAAAATGTTCTTACTTTCAGCATGGGGGCCTTCTCTAATGGTACAGTTGCATAATTTGATGTTTTCCACAGGTGGACTTGCGAAACAAGGTGACCTATGATGGGTGTTATTACTCCCACTACTGGAATTGTTACAGGGGCTCCTGTGGCTCTAGCATCACAAGTCAGAGAGGTGTACTTGACAGGAGCACCAATGCACCACAGACTAACAGGGAGTGGTGTGAAGCTGAAACAATCAGTACATATAATGTCCCCAGCGACCAACCTTTTGAGCTGTGGTGGGCTTTTTATGTTTTTATTGAAATATTATAAATATTGTTTCTGCTGATCTTTATATCAGTTTATTAAATATTCTGCCAACCCTGCTTTAAGTTACACAGTTGCCATTTGCAAGGTTGTTAGATTTTAAGTGTTGTTTCCACACAATCCAGGGCAGCTAGCTGTTGCTGGGTGTCAACACGTAACTACGTTTCTGATTGGAGACTGCTGACTCATGTGGATTTGGGAACAAGGTCTGACACGAGAAAGCCAAACACATCACCAAGCTTTGCCATCCTACCTTTCCAGCGGTAAGTCTCCTGCAGTCGGTATAAAACCTCTAACCTCTAATCATTTGACCAAAAACAGTGCTGAATGTGAAACTGACGTTGGCGCCCTCCAGTGGCAGAACAACAAAGACACTGTCAAAATATACAGTACTAAAATGAAAGCAAAACACAGAGGGCAACAATTTTACTGGGATTGTTTTCCACAGTATGTTATTCTGTAGTTATATAAAATATGTGGCAGTAAGTGACTTGTTTTCATTAGATAACAGGGATGTTCACTCATTTTGACTAACTCTAGTGTGGACCAAAACATAGGTCTTTCAGAAAATGGAGAAGCAAACAATTTTTCCATATTTTCTGTTGGGAAGAGTCTCAGTTTTCACAAAAGAACAAAGTATTTTCTCCTACCTGCTCATCTGAACAGACAGTGTTATTTTCTATGTTTAGCTACCGACACAGGCATGTTTGCACATCTGCTGATTTGATCCTTTGTACATGTCATTAACTCATATGAATGTGTCTATTCAAGAGTGCCTCAGAACTGCCCACGGACATATAAACTGATGTCCTTTGATCCTGATGGCGACAAAGTTCGATGCAGATATGGAGCTATGAGAGACACAGAGTGCAGCTCGTGCAGCCAACCTTCAGGCTTCTTCTTATCTCAGGTTAGCTGAAAAATCTATTTTACACTGTACATTATTGAACTGATGCTTCACTTCACTTAACCACTAATGTCTACATTGTTAGGACTCTTGCACGTTACACTACTACTCCTCCAGTGCTGACCCCAGAGCTTATGGATTTGAGTTGGTGGTGGAGGACTTCCCACAAAAACACATCACTCTGGCCTATGCAGACGGATCGCAATCCTACAAGGCCCCACTAACTGCGAGGAGAAAGAGACAAGCCACAGCTCCACCCCCAACCTCAGCACAAACGACAACCTCATGGTGGCCTTGGTGGTATGGTGCAACTACAACCGCAGCACCAACGACAACCACAACCTCTTGGTGGCCTTGGTGGTATGGTGCAAATGCAACCGCAGCACCAGCGACACCCACCACACCAACGACACCCACAACCTCATGGTGGCCTTGGTGGTATGGTGCAACTACAACCGCAGCACCAACGACAACCACAACCTCATGGTGGCCTTGGTGGTATGGTGCAAATGCAACCGCAGCACCAGTTACTACCACCACACGACAGCTGTACGCCACCACTTCTCCTCTCAGTAAACTGCCTTTGCAGTTTTCTTTACTCGGTAAGTAAAGTTTTACTTGTCCTTAAACATGTCTGCTGACGTTTATAATGAGCCACATTAAATCACACTGATTTAACACCTGCTGCTGCACCATCCTCACTGGGTTAACACAGTCATAACAGCTATGACCATAGCTGTTATTCTAGAAATATTAAAGTGAGGGTTCTAAATCCCCTAGAAAGGTTTGACCCAAAAGCTTACAAACAGTTGTTCAGTCTTTACCATTTTATTTATTCAGTTATCTGTTATCTGTATATTTTGTTTCTGCACCATGAAGCTCTCTGAGGTCAGAACAATAGTTCTGTTTCCAGCTTTCTGATATAATCCAGTAGAGTTTTAGACGTTTTCTTAGTATAACTTGGATTTTTTTTTTCTCACAGGAAAAAAACCTTTTAATCCTTTGGTTTATCTGAAAGGTTTTAAATCCCTCAGTTTGCAGATGTCTGGTTTTCATTGGACAGTCACTCTCCACAACACTGCCACGAATCAAATTTTTACTTATTTTGTGGCCTAAGAGCACTAAACCCACCCCTCAGATCACAGAGATAAAAAAAGGACATGATCCCCATGTCCTCAGTGTCAGCTACAGCCTGAAGTTTAGCCTCAGGCAACTAATGAGAAAAACTGTGTAAAACCAGTGGCTGCCTAGATATTGACCAGAGTGTAAAAGGTTTTGATCCACAGACTTCAGCTCAGTGGTGGTTTTGTAGTGATTACATATTCCACTGTCAGTTGTTTGTTTGTTCTACTCCAGTGGACCCACCTGTTCCCTCATGTGAGGATGGAGTCTACTTGCCAATGTTTGTGCACCCAACACCTGAAAATGGAGCACGCATCCCAGCAGAGGTTGACAAAGAGGTGGAGATCCGAGTCAAAGCTGAAGCTACAAACGCAACGTAAGTAAGAGCCAGTGCGATGAATGAGGATTTGTGGCAGCAAAACACTGCTGCCATTTCATGAATTCGGATCATAGAAGAAAACTCTGGGTGTTTTTGTTTTCATACAGGATATCTGATATGATCATCAGTGGGCCACTGAATATCAGTAAGCACAGGACCACACATGATGAGTTTGTCATTAGGTGGACACCAGTGCCAGATGACCTGGGAGACTACTACCCCATCTGCTTCGCTGTGGAATCAATGACATGGTGAGCCCGTGGATCAGTTGTTTTGTGACAGATGTGTGTGTGTGTGTGTGTGTGTGTGTGTGTGTGAGCAGATGGACGTGATGGCTAGATTTAAAATTATTTACAATCTTTAAGAAAAATGTGCAATTACATAAGAAGTAAATGTGTATCTAAAGTTGAATATAAAATTTAAAGGGTTGTTGCATCTGTATTTTGAAATATCTCAGTGTGTTCGCCAATGTTTTTCAGGTCTGGCATTTATCAGTCTGAGATGAGATGTGTTCTGGTGGGTGTCAAGAAGGAACAAGGTAAGTCATTGTTATGGTTTTGGTCTGACTTTCTGTTCTGTGCTTTTATTTTGTGAGCATTTCCTGTCTTTTACTATCTCACCAGCCCCGACTTTACACTGGCACTGATTGTCCTCAGTGATTAGATAGATAGATGGTTTCATTAATCGTTAGAGGGAAATTTGTTGTTATAGCAGCCATTACACCTTTATGAAAAAAACACAAAACAAAAACAATTTAAACAGATATAATAAATAAATTGCAGTACCCTCCATCCCAATGTTGTTCATAAAGAGAATTTAGGAGATTACACCTACAAACATTTGTTATAGGCCTAACTGCATCCAGCAGGAAGGCCTCCTGAAGCGCTTTGACATGTACCTCAGGTGAATCAGTCTGGAGCTCCTGTGGTCAGTTAACATGCTGTACAGGGGTGGGAGGTGATTTATAGAATCATCTGCAGGTTTTTCAGCACTCTGCCCTCCACCACCTCCCCAAGGGTGACCAGCTTTGTTCCAGTGACAGATTCTTAATGACTTTATTCAGTTATCCTTTGCTGTTAGACCTCCACCCCAGCACACCACAGCAAAGAAGATGGTACTCACTACGACAGACTGATAAAACATATGCAGGAGCTTATTACGGACCTAAGCCTTCTCAGAAAGTAGAGCCGGCTTAGGTCCTTCTTATAGATGACCTAAATCTTGGCGGACCACTCCAACTTGTTGTTCAAGTGAATGATTCGGAGCTGTACCTGAAGTCTGATGTGAAAATGGTCAAATGGAAGGGAGACAATATGGTCCCTTGGGGGGCCCCGATGCTACTCACCAGATGTTCAGACACACAGCTATAGCCTTATAAACTGCTGTCAGGTAGTCCTCAGTCCAGGCGACCATGGGAGCATTCACCTGCATGTCCCTCAGGTTGTCTGACAGCAGTCGAGCCCAGATGGTATCGAAGGCGTTTGAAAAATCAAAGAACATAGTCTTCACTTAGCAGTTACCTTCACCTGTTGCTGGTTTGTTTGCCTGGTTCAGCATTTGCCTATGCCTTGCCTATGTATCGTTTCCTGTGGCCCTCACCTGTTTCCCCTGTTAGGTCCCCTGTGAACTCCCCTCTCTCTGCTTTGGACTCCAGCAGTGAGTGGACTTCTGCAATTTCCCTTAGTTTGGTTTATTTCATGTTCTTCTCCACTCCCTCTCCCTTTGTCCTGTCCCTCACAGCTAAAAGTATTGCTTAGTCTGCTCCCTGGCGTAGTTGTATTTCTTGGCAGCCTTCGTGTTTTATTTTAGTCAGATTGAGATCAGTTTTTGTTCTTGTTTATTTAGTTTGTTGGTAATAAACGGTCTTGTCGCGTTATCTCCTGTATCTGCATTTGGCTCCTCATTCTCATACCATATCAGTCAAAGGGCTACTTTGATGTCAACATTTGGTAGTTTAATTATAATCACTATGATTACATACTGTATATCAAATACTGTTTAAAGGGCCAAATACTGGCCACATGGCTGGTGTACACTGGTGACCAGGTTTTAATGCTGCAGTCCAATGTGCTGTCTGGGTTAGCCTTGCTACCAAACAAAATTCTGAGCCATCACTGTATAAAAAATCTATCCTTTAAATTTTAGGTGTAAACCAAACTTAATGTTGCATTAACTAATTTTGACCACTAGAGGGCAGAAACACTCCAAGACATATTGTAATGAGCTCTGAGCATATTGTCAGGTTGATGTCATTTAAAAATATGAACCATACACTACTGTATTAAGCAATACTTTTCACATTTAAATGTTGCTTAATGCAGGTTTTCTTATGCATGGTTTTCATGAATTTGTTCTTCTGATTTCTTGCTCCAGTGAAAACCAATGTAATTTGCACTACATCCTCAATGACGGTAGAGATTGAGAAATCTTCACTCCCTGGAATCCATGAGGATCATCTGCAGCTCAGTGACCCCAGCAACACTGTGTGCAACCTCCAGAGACACTCCAACAGCACTCACATTGTCGCTGTCATCCCCCTCAACACTTGTGGAACTCAGATCGAGGTAAACTGCGTTCTTCTTGCCTCTTGTTGTTGCTTTTTGTATGAGGGCTGAATGCATAACCTCTTACTCTGCAGGAAGATGACAAAAACCTCATGTTCAAGAATGAAATTACCACGGTCAACAACGTGGGAGATGTAATCACCAGGAAAAACCTTCTGGAGGTGCAGTTCTACTGCCAGTACCCCAAACTGGGGAATGTGACACTGGGCTTCACAGCACACAGGAAGAATGTCACAGTGTGGGAAAGGGGCTTCGGCACGTTTACCTACCAGTTTGAGTTCTACCCTGACGAACAGTTCCAAACCATGATTGATCCAAACTTGTACCCTCTGGAGATTGACATTGGGAGCAGGATTTACATGCAGATAGAGGCCACCTCTTCAGTCAACAACACTGAGCTGTTTGTGGAGTCCTGCAGAGCTGCACCATATGACAACCCTAACTCCTGGCCGACCTACTCCATCATTGAAAATGGGTAGGCAAGAGATCGCCCTCTAGTGGCAGAAATAAAGTAATAATAAAGATCTGTTGTTTGCTGGAGCCTTTCTATGAGAGGTTTGTATCTGAAATGTCCAAAGGTGTGAATGAGAGAGTGAACGGTCTGTCTGTGATATCAGCCCTGTGACAGACGGGTGACCTGGGTGTACCCACCTGTCACCCACTGTTTGCTGAGATAGGCTCCATCTCCATCCTTCTACTTGTTCATGGTCAATGAATGAAAACATGGAAATTAAATGCCTTTCTTTCCAGCCTGAATGTTTCACCTTGCAGTCACTTTAATCCTTGGCTATGCTTCTTTTACTGCTGCTGGAGTGGCAAAGATTGCAGAGGCAATGTTTCTCATCTTATTGTTTATTTTTGCTTTGACCAGATGTGCAGTGGACCCAACGGTTGAAATCTATTCTCCTGCCCATGACAGACAGTTCAAGCTGAGCATGGAGGCCTTCACGTTTATCGGTTTACATGACCGTGTAAGCAACACAGGACTTGAGCAAGTGACTATAAATGTCTCTTGTGATCTCTCAGTGTTTAAAGGGATAGTTCAAAATATTGGGAAACATTCTTTCTTGCTGAGAATTATTTAGGTAATTAAAATCACTGTCGTGTTCGTGTGGTAAATATGAAACTCAGTGGCGGGCCATGCATTTGGTACCTGGGCCTTCAATGGAGACTTGCCTGACTTAATTCACCTCTTAATACCACCACTCTACGTCGCAATTGTAGAAACCATGAATGCTATACAAAAACACAATATAATAAATTGTGGCATTACAGAAAGTGAGGTATTTCGCGTATTGAGGGTGAATACCGTTTTTACTAAAGCAAGAAACCCAGTTAAGACAACTCCAAAACCTCTACACTACAACCGCAACTGTGATCTCTGCGTTTCAGTTCCATCGTAAGCCCTTTTCTAGTTTTGCTCTGACCAACCAATCAGAGGACGGAAAAATGCTGACATCATTGTGAGGCGAATTTGAAATCTGATTGGTTAAAGAAACAGTCCCATTGCTAATATAGTTTAAGTTACATGGGCCAGCACTTCTGATTCTGAAGGCCCTGGGCAGATTAGATTGACATGGCAACACATAGAGGCTGAAATCTGATTGGACAAAAAATCTAACATCCACATACACGTACTGGAAGCAGTGCAGCCAAGAGAAATACTACGAAATGAAGAGAACAGTCTGTTGGGAATAAATTAATACAATTTCATGGAACAAATATTAGAATTTCAGTTGTAAATGTAGCTCAGTGCTTCTAATAGTGTTAGGCCAGCAGAAAAGGCCTTGCTGGCCCTGACGGCCCGCCACTGATCAAACTACAACCAGCAGCTGGGAAGCTTGGTGTAAAACTGGTAACAGGGAAACAACAAACCTGACTCAGTCTCAAGGCAACAAAAGTAGAAGCACCTCTGCAGCTCATCTAATAACGGCATGCCAAACAACTACTGCAAGTGTAACAACAACAAGAGAGGAATATCACTCCTCTCATCTACCTCTTGGCAAGAAGGATGATCCCAAAAAACACTGGAGCATTCTTTAATACAAATTATTTAAACAAATCAGCATTTGCTTTTATTAAACTGATTTAATCTAAGTTTTACATTTGACCGCAGACCACTTGACATATAGATCATGTAACTGACAATTAAGTAGAGCAGTCAGAGCGGAGATTCGATTCTGTACATAAGGTCTGACTGTAATTAGAGACAACAGTGTGTCTGCTGATGTAATGGCAACATGTCTCCTTATATTCAGGTGTACATCAGCTGCTCAGTCCTGATTTGTGAAGCAGGAAACCCCAACACCAGATGCTCACAGGGATGCATCAATTCCACGTGGTCAGGTGGTTACCACCATCACCAACGAAAGCGAGAGGCTGTCATCCAGAGTGCAAATCATCTTGTTTCCCAGGGTCCTCTGCGCTTAAGGAGATCGGCAGCGAGCACCCGACTCACAGGTAAGACAGCACAGAGTCTTCTTCACAGCATACCAGCTTTGTTAGAGTCCCAGTTATACTGTTGATTTTAAATTGTGCTCCTCTTTTCTCCAGAGACCAACCTGAATCTGAACATGGTTTTCATTGCTGGATGTCTTCTTGCAGCTGTTGGCATGATCTGTGGAGTGGCCATGTACAGAGCCAAAATGTCAAAGGCCACATACCAACCTTTGTCTACATTTGAAAGTTAAGACAGCACTGTGTGTAGAGAACAAATTCTGAATCAATTCAACTACATGCAATGTTACTTTGATTTTGTTCAGTTCTGGTGTTTACTCTTGTACCTTCTGCAAATGATTCAGTATCATTATGTATTACAGTTTGATTGGAAACAACCATCGTGATTGATAAATGTAGTCCCACCTAATCACAATCATTATGTGTCAAAAGCACTGATTGGCTTCAAACACATGGAGGAGACATAACTCAGTTATGATATACAGTACTTGTTGATCAATAAACATGTATACTCACATTTTTCTTCTGTCCCTTTTATTTTGCTCACACACATTTTCTCCTCTTTGTAATCCAATTATGCTATTCAACAGTACTGTCAGATTGTGTGGCTCTAAGACATTTCTAAATGCATATATAGCTGCACAGTGATGCTTATGTTTGTTGAAATGTCTATAATCCGTCTTATTGTCATAGCACCACCGTATAAAGTGGCCTCTACCATCAGCAAAGCCATGCTGTCCTTATTGCGTAATCACTTGTGAAACAACATTTCTGATTACTTTGTCTGAAGCATATTATTACAAAGTTCAACCACAAACATTATCACAGTATGATCCAGTCGTACGGAAGACCTGTGGAAACTGTGCAATTTTTTTTACTTTTTCCTTTATAACTCACAGACTAGACAGTCACTATTCATCTTTTGATATAAGAAACATATGTATGTGCACTAATTAATAATATAATTTATATATTGTTCCTAATAAGGACAAGACTATACTATTACATTTAATGCAAGAAGTCGCATTAACACACCTTTTTAACTGGGTTGAAGCTCTACTGATTGTATTGTTCAACCTCAGGTCCACTCCAACCAAATCACTAAATGTGAGCCCACATGAAATCCTGACAGGGAGAAAAATGCCCTGTCCTCTAACTGTTATGCCCAGGGATTCAACACCTCTTCTTTTACAGCATGCTGACATAAGTGAATATGTCAGATGACTGAACAGCGCCGTGATGAGTCTCTCTGAACAGGTGGTTGAAATCCTGCACAGAGACCAATCTGAGGAGCCTATCTCAGTTGCTGTGGACAGCTGGGTCTACCGCAAGGTGCACAAACTTCACTGGTTCGAACCACGGTGGCAAGGACCCTTCGAGGTAGCAGAAAGCACCACACACTGTGTTAAACTGTGGCTCACTGATAACAAGCTAAGTAACTGGATCCATAAAACACACTGCACACCAGCAGAGGATTCCACTGTTCGCACAGTAAGTCAGGTCAGGGCTGATTTGACCTCTAAATCGCCTGAGCCACAGTCAAAGGAGGACTAAATTTAGTGTG